AAGCTTTAAGAAATATACTGTTTATTCGACTCGAGCTTCAAGCTATCGATAATACGAGATTATAATAAATCTTTGCAAGCAGCTAAGCAAAAGAGCGTCTTTTTAGCGGTATAGATTAAAGAACACCGAGTTATCTATAAGTTAGCGAAGATAAACGACCTTTACGAGACGACGAGTATACTCGCGATAAAAGCATTCTTAAAAGCTATTAGCGAAAAATAGTCATTAATTTAAGCGTCGTTAAAGCTCGCAAAAGTCATTCGAAACGACGAGCTTTCATTATTTTAAAAGCGCACTTTCTACGACTACTTTAATTAATACGAAAGCTAAGTCGAAGAAAAGACTAGCAATCCGAACTTTAACTTTTTTAACGTATTCGCTACTTTCAAAGATCAAACTACTCGTAGCACTTTCAAAAGTGATAAAGCTAACGACATTGCTTTTAAGCAGTCCGATAAACGCTCCGATAGCTTTAAAAGACTTGCTAAAAGTTTTAAATGCTTATACTTTAAAAAGAGAAACTATTATTAAGACGCAATCAAGTGCAAGATCTTTCGCTATTGCTTTAACGGTCTTAACGAAAATAGATTCGCAAAGCCGAACCGAGATGATATCGTCGTTATAAAAAAGAAGCTTTAAAAGCTTAAGTTCAAAGCGCTTCGAAAAGAGATCACGAAAGAAAGTTAAGCATAGATTTAAGTCGATAAGATCGTTTTAAAAAGCAAAAAGAAATAATCGAACGATAATAATAAGTCAAAATATTTTAAAAAAGTGTTAATAGCTATTATCGATCTCGAGCTCTTTAGCACGCTCGATAATCTTGCTTTTGACAGTCTTTATAGCACGGCTAATAATAAGCACTAGCTATCTAATAGCACTTTTCTCGATAATTACGGCGCTATTCATTTTATTAACGATAAGAATCTTTTAAAGCTAAAGTCAATTCAACGCTTTTGCTTAACCGATTTCATCGAAGCTAAAACGAGTAGTTTTTTAATCGTTAAGCGAAGTACTAAAGTCTTTAAAAGAACTTTAAACGGATTAAATAAAGCTAAAACAAAAGATTTAAAGTTAGAAAACGTCGCTATCATTAAAAAGTTTAATATTAATATTATCTCGAAAGCTCTTTTAAGCAAAGCTAGCGTATAATACTCGAGATATAACGCAACTCTTCGTTACGAAGAGGTTAAAAAGAGCGTCGTTTTAAAAAAGTTAAAAAAGAAGTTCAACCTTACGTTTTTTAAATACAAACTATTCAATTATTCTTTACTTTAATTGATTCGTAGCTTTTTTTGCTTAATAATATTCTTCACAACTTAAAAGCGTTTGCAAATACGCTATAAATTCTAAAAGAGCAATGTCTTCCGAGCTTTAAAAAAAGATTTATCGATACTTTAGCATTTACAAACAAGTTATTTAAGCAAAGAAGCGCTCGAAGCGCTAGCTTATAATATTAAAAAAGTAAGACTTAAAGGAATCATTAAAGTTGAATATAAAGTATATGCTATTACGCACGCTTAATAAATTATATCTCGCCGTACGTTAAATAATAAAGCAGCTAAGCTATTTTATAAGATCGCTTAAGATCTATTCGACTTTTTTAACGGTTTCGACGAAAGCAAATAATTATTAATAATTAAAGATGAATACAATAAGAAGTTATTCGGCTTTACACTAAAAGACAAGTTGCAATTAACAATTATAAAAGTGCTAAAAGAATTCGAAGTATAAACGAAACGCAAATACGGTCTTTTAATAACTATTATACGCTATAATAACGATTCTTCGGTAATCGTAATCAACGTTATCGGCTTTATCGAATATCAAAGATAAGCGAAAAAGATTAAGATCGAGTTAAAGCTCTTATTATCTTTTAATTACGAACTTAATAAAAGAGCTAAGAAAGCTAAAAGAAAAGTGATAAAACGGTCTATTAAAATGAGAATAAAAGCAAAGCTCTTAAAAAAGCTCTAGCTTAAGACTATACTAACCGCTATCTACTTTTATAACATGATATCGAAAGCGAAAAGCTTTATAAAGAGTCCGAATAAAGTGCTACAGCTTTAGTTTAAGCAATATTTTAAGTGATACGATTCGGCGATCTTTATACGGATCGATACCGATTTAAAACCAGATTATAGCGGTTTAGTTGCGTATAACGCTCGTGCGTACTTAATAATCAAAAACCGAAAAGCTTTTCGCAATAAAAGAGCTTTTAAAATCAAACTAAAAAGATATATAAGCTACTTAGTTAAATATATAGCTTTTAATATATACAAGGTCTATGTTTTTATGCTTTATAAAGTGATTGTCATACGCAACGTAACGTTCGATAAGACTTAATTCTATCTTAAAAACGAAAAAAAATCGATCGGCTAACCGATTAACAAGATTAAAAACATCGTCATTAAACTAAAAGATATTAAAGACTTTAATCAAATAAAAAACGCTTTATTTAATATAAAGAACGTTGCAAAAGATCGCTTAAAAGAAACGAATGCAATTAATATAAAAAGTAAGCAGCCGTTAAACTTAATAAAAGTTGACTTAAAAAGATTTAATCAAAGCTTAAAGAATGCGACCTTATTTAATCCGAGCGATGCACAAACGTTAAGAGCTTTAACTTTAATTAAAAATCTTATAAATACGTTTATATTAAAAGCAATTGCTTTACGAAACGATCTAATAAACCTTAACGATTCGAACCATACTGCTAAACGTCTCGCTAGTTTTTTAGCTAAAAGCAAAAGCGAAAGTGCTTTAAGACTGCTAAAAGCAAAAAGGAGCACCGTAAACGAGCAAAAACCTAGCCTTAATAAAAAAGCGCGTAAATCATACTTTCAAATTGTTATTTAAAGCCGAAGCTCGAAAGGCTAAGCTATAAGCCGACTAACGAAAGCTTTTACGTTAATAACCGGCGGAGATTTAAACCGAACAATCAAAGAAAAGCTATTAGACTTTTTTAAAGCGAGCATTAATAATAAGAAATTAAACCATAAACATTTTAAATAAAATTTCGACTTTAATAAAAAGCATTCACTTATTAATAGCCGTATTAAAAAACGCGCGAAGATATACGCAAATGTTAATAAGCTTCTATTAAACAACTCTCGCGCCGATTCGAACCGTTATTCGCGCGTCTTAGATTTTGTATCGACTTTTTAAGTTAATAACGAACCCGTGCGTAAAGATAATAAAGATTACGAAACATTATACGCTATTATAATAGCTGCTACCTCGTTTAAGCTATCACTAGAACAGCTTAACCCGTAAGAACGAAAACATTTAAAACCTTTTACTTATTAAAAAGAGTTATAACGATATTTATATAGCAAAGAGTTTAAAAACGGAGCTTTTATAAAACTAAATAATTTAAAAAAAAGGAACTGCTAAAAAGTGATTTTCGAAAGCGAAGCTAAGTCAAAACTTATACCTTTTAAGTAAGTGTTCATATATAAAACTAGCTCGTCCGAAAAGATCGTAAGGTTTAGATCGAAGATTATAATTAAAAGCGACTTTTAAGACGAGTCTATTATTTATTCAACTTACGCTATTACGCTAGCAGCTAAATCGTTTAAGATAATAATAGCTATAACAGCTGAATTTGATTTAAAAGTAAAACAATTCGACGTCGTTAACGCTTTTATTAACGCTATAAAACATACGAATAGCGTTTTAGTCACGTATTATCTCTTTGACGGTTTTAAGCAAAAAAGTATGCTCGTAAAAGTCGATAAAACCTTATATAAACTTAAAGACTCGTTAGCTTTATAATATTTCGACTTTATAAGCACACTCGACAAATTAAAGCTTACGCTACTCGATAAAGAACCGTGTATTTTTACGAATTTAAATAAGACGGTTTTTATAGCGTTCTATGTAAACGATATTCAAATCATATATTATCATTCTAATCTTTTTAAAGCGCAAGAGATTATTAACGGTCTTAACAAAGCGTATAAGATCGAAGCGATAAAAGATATTAAATGGTTTCTTAGTATAAAAGTCGCTCGAGACCGTTAGCGAAAAACGTTAACGCTTATGCACGACGCTTATATTAAAAAAATAGCTAAGAAATTCGAACTTACGAACGGACGCTGCTTAACAACTCTATTACCGTTTTATAAACTAATTAAAAATAAAAAAATAGCTTCGCGAAAGCAAGTGAAAGAGTATTAAGAAAAAGTTAGATCCGTGCTATATATAACGATAATACTACGCTTAAATATAGCTTTTGCAGCTTCTTAACTCTTTCACTTTAGCACTAATCTAAGCGCGAAGCACTTTCGAGCTATAAACTAGTGTTTGCGATATCTATTTAACTCGCGCTTTAAAGGTATTCAATACAACTAGTTCAGCAAGTCGGAGCTAATAATAGCCTTTAACGCTTTTTACGCCGATAACGAAAAGATAAAGCGATCTTCTTAAAAGTATATTATATTTTTGTTCGAAGGTGCGATCTTTTAAAAAGCTTTAAAGCAAAATACAATTATTATATCATCTATTAAAGCGGAGCTTCTTAGCATAGCTTTTATAATAAAAAAGACTATAACGCTTTAACGATTTTTCAAAGAGCTGCACTTTCGATTTGCGGCGCTTTAAATAGTTTATTATGATAATTAATAAACAATCAAGCTTATAGCTAATAAGAAGGAGCGTATCTCTATTAAGCTTCGCTACGTCGATATTCATAATATATAGCTGCGCTAAAAGCATTTTAAAAAGAGCTTTCAAGTTCAATATCTTTTTACTAAAGAGATGCACGCTAATAATCTTATTAAGAACCTGACTCGACAAAAGTTTAAGAGCTTCATTAAGCTCTTGAATTTACAAAACGCTCGCGCGTCAATCGAAAAGCTTTAATAGCACGCATATACTATTCACTTATTATATCTCATTTTTTTTTTTCTTTTCATTTACACGTGATTCAAAAGAAAACATTTATTTAGCAATCTTAACTATTATTCTATCTTATTTTATACGCTTTTACCTTTCGCTTTTTACAACAAAAGATCAACTAAAGCTCTTAGCAATCTCTTTACCTTAGCTCGGCGCTCCGCAAGCGTTATAACAACGGCGAGCGCCGCCGCGAAAGCGGCAAGCGCAATAATTAGCGCAAAAAAAGCGACGATAATAAGTACGACGAGAGCTGCGAGAGCGACGAGAGCAACAAAAGCGGCTAGCGCAAGCGCAAAGGCTGTTATAACAGCAGATTAAAGTCTTTGCATAAAGTCCGAAAAGAAGTTCTAATTAAAAAGAGCTGCTTAAATTAAATTATTTCGTAAGTCAAAGAGCTTGACTTACGAAAAGGTAATATACTCGAAGCGCTCCGAGTCACCGGACTACGGTTCGCTACCATAAGACTATTCAATCTAATAAAAGCTATATTCAAATTAAAGGTCTTAAAAGCAAAAGCAAAACTTGCAAAGCTATCAAGACTATTTTTAAAACCTCTACTTTTACTCGCTAGACCGCTCGCACTATTAACAGCACCTCTTGAAAAAGCAGCATTTAAAGCGAGCTGTTGTCGCACAGCATCTCGAAGACTTTAGCGAACTTTTTATATAACACCATTGTCTTTAACGCTTACGAAGTTATCGAAAGCGGTGTTAATAGCGGTAGAAGCAGCGGTACAATTGCTATAGCTACCTTTAGCATACTAGAGACAGCGTATAACGCTCGTATCGTAATTATAACAGTTTTTATTAGACTTCGATATGATCTTACTATTAATGCACTTGATGCACCTTAAAGCCTTAACGGTCGTTAACATAAGTAAGCGCTTAATAAAAAAGTCTAAAAGAAAAGGCGAATCTTCGAAAGTAAGAGTGCGTAATATAGCCGCCGCAGCCGCCGCAGCTGCAACAGCAGCAATAGCTAAAGCAAAAAAGGGATTCTTTTAATAATTAATATAGATATATTAATCTATCAAAAGCACTTACTCTTAGACGGCCTCGGCCGCGCTTAACGATTCTATTAGACTGAGTTACTTGCTTAAAAAGCATTGTATAGATAGATAAAAGTTAAGTGTTTGTTATAATAAAAACGGACGCGCTCTTACTTATATAGCAACGCGATAAAGACGGCGCTAAAGACTTTCGCTACGTGATAAGACCGATTTAAAAAGGAATTGCATTCTTGACTAACACTTAATTAATAATAACAACCGCTATTTGTTTGTTTAAATTACGATGACAATCTCTTTTGTTTATATCGAGTTTAAAAAGCTTAGTCATTTATTTTTTTTCTTTTTTATTTGCTTGCAGCTCAACAGCTACGCTGCTAACTTAAAAAGTGTGTTATGCGGAACAAGCATAGTTCCACTTAAGCTATATGTGATATGTTATATGACCTCGCTTAATAGCGCTTTTAGCATACTAGAGCTCTCAAGTACATGTATATAAATCTTAACGAGCTTCTTAAATAAAATATACCAAGCTTCATTTAATCTATAGAATCTCTTCCTGATCTTAGTGCTGGTAAGCACTACAAAAAGTTATAGCTTCTTTTATAAGCATAATCGAGAACGCTATTAAGTAGTCGTCGAAGGTTAAATCGTATCGACTTGCTTAGTTAGCAAAAATCTTTAATTAAGTCTTAAAGTTATCGTCGAGTTTTAAATACTTTAGCTCTTTAAGAAAGCTTCGCGCGAATAAAGCTAATTCCTTCGCTTTTAAGTAAAGGTCTACTGCTTTTAGCTTAAGGAAATCGTCTTTATTATCGTTAAAAGCATTTAAAGTGCCGTACGCCGGCGTACTTTGCTTAGTTAATAGTCTAATCGATAGAGGGTTACCGATATAATTGCCGGTGGTCCGTCTTTTTTTAAGGTCTTTAAGAAGCTTATTTTCGAATCCGGGGTCTTTTAAAAGTCCGTTTCCGAATCTTTTTAATAGTCTAAAAGGCTTATTTCTATCTTTTTCGTACCCGTAGCCTCGATCTCTTTGCTAATCTCTTTCGTTCTTTTTTCGTCGGTTATCGTGAAGATCGCTAAAGCTATTTAAGTCACCGGTTAAAGCTTTAGCTTAGTAATATCCGTACTTTTAAATGCGCTCTTAGCGATCCTCGTACTTTTAGTATTTTTCTTATCGATACGTAGCTTATTAAAAGATCTAAGAAGCTTATCGGTACGTTCGAAAAGGCTGGATCTCTTTCTCGGGTTGCTAAAGTTAAGCACGGAAATTTGCACGCTATCTTTAGTAAAAGCTGATTTTGCTTAAAATGCTTTTAAGTTTTAGTAAGTCTTCTTTTAGCGTGTAGCTCTCGTAGCTTCGTTCGTTATCTAATTCGATAATAATTTTAAGACCGTTTTTGTTGTTACTCGGTCTTGGTTTTTCGAAAATTCGGCTGTAGCCTTTAGGAAAAAGATTTTAAAGCTGCTAAAGTGATTTTAGCTTTTCTTATATGATAAGCGTATTGCGTAGCGATTAATGAATTGAAGATGAGTACGCTAAAACGTTTCGTCGTAGCTTTTCGTTAGATTGTATAACGTAAGTTCGTAATTCCGCTATTTGCTTTGCTATAGCTTTTATATTGCGTTTTATATCTCTTTTCTCTTTTAAAAACTCTTTTCGTAACTTTTAGATTTTTTCTTCTTTTTCTTTCTTGCTTAAAGTCTTTCTTTCTTTCTTTTTTAAGTTTCGCGGAGTTAAAAGTAAAAGTAGTTAAAGTATAATATTTTCGTCGTCCGTAAGGTTTTCGGCGGTCTACTTTAAGTCGAAGCTTAAAAGTGTTGCTTATTGCTTTTTTATTTCTTCGAAGGTTTATTAATGCTGCTGCTCGTCGTTTAATAGCTTAACTATCTTATTAGCGTAACCCTTTTGCTTTAAAGGGCACTATACGCTTTTAGATAGCAAGTGTTCTTTAAAGCTAATAAAAGTAGTATACTTAAGGCTTCGTCTTGTATTGTCCTTCGTTATTATAAAGCTCGTCTAATCTTAGCGTAAGAAAGCGTGCCGGAATAAGCTTTATAAGTCGTAGTCCTTTAGTCTTTTATACTTCGCATTCAAGAAGTCTTTTACTATTGCTCGGGCCGTAATCTTATTATCGGGCTTTGCGTATAATAGCTCGTTTAAGTCAAATAAGATGCTCGACATCTCGTCGTCTAGTCTTTCCGAGAGGTTTAAAAGTCTTAAGTATAGTGTTTCTTTTAGCTGAATAGCTAAAGGTTTCGTAAGTAGTAATAAAACTCGAGAGGTATAATACTTTACTGTTTTTTGTCGGCTAGACTCTTTATTTAAAAGTCTAGTTGCTCGATCGGCTATAATTGTTATCTGTTTGTACGTAAATCGATTTAAATTAATTAAGTTGCTATATATAGCAAGCGCGGCTCTTATAGCGTTGAAGTTGTTGTATAAAAGTGACTTGGTTCGGAATCACTTTTCTGTAAGAATAAAGAAAATCGATAGTATAAGAAGCGACTTAATACGGAATCGCTTTTCTATTGTAAAAAGAAGAAAGTATCGTATTGAAAAGTATCTTCGCTATAAAGTCTTAGCTTCTTTATGATTGATCACTTAATAGTAAATCAACTACTAATCAGTGTTAGATTGCTTTTAAGCGATTAAAAATATATTCGTAACTTCGTAACGGTCGTTAAAGTACTTGCAATTGCAAAACACTCGGTTGATAAAGTATCTGAATTCTGTCTGCTCCTTAAGGCTCAAAAGAGCTGATTCTTTTTATATGATTAAAAGGAATCACGTACATTAGCTAGCTAATAAGTTTACTAGTTAAGTTGGAGGTCCTTTGACTGCTGACATACTAAGCGAAGCATGCTAAGTGGCCCGTGAACTATGGTTCACGGGTGAGTTCCTTAACTACTACTACTACTACTATTAGCTAGCTAAGGTCGATATAGAAATACCGACATTTTATTCACTTAAGCCACTTTGCACGGCGATACGCCCGAAGTACTATTCGTTTAATGTACTTTACCCCCTCGATTCAACATCGCTTCTAGTACGAGTCTACTGCTCTTTCTTCTTTAGAAAGGTGGGCAATAGCTAAGTACCGGAAATACCACGCCCAGCTTAAGAGGTTAAAAAAAAAAAAAAAAAAAAAAAATTCAATACTTACTTCGCAACGAAGATTACGCATAAAGACTTCGAACTGCTTTCGAACATCTTTCGCTTTAGCAAATAAAAAATACGACGAGCGAAAATAAGTGTTATACAATTCGAAACCGTTTCGATGTCGTATTATACTAAAAGCAAGCTATATACTTGCACGAAAGCTCGGCTATTACTTTACTTCGTTTTTATTTCTATACATTTAATTTCAGCAATTACTTTTCCGCTTATTCGAATCTTACGTTTAAGAGTTAAACGTATTATTAATATTATTTATTATATCGATTTAGTTTCGATTATTTAATTCGAAGCGATCGACACTCGACTCTTTAATAAATTACTTTCGACGCATCGAAATCTTTAATCTTATATTTATATAACATTTCTTTATATATTTAATATTTATTATAAATTATACTTATTTCATTTTTATTATTCATTTATATTTATATCATTCTTGTTCTCTTTTTATATCCGTTTCGAGATATATTTACACTTCAATCGATATCTATTAACTTAACTTAACGAGCTTACGTTAAAGCTTTCGGAAATCAAAAAGAGCTATGACTTCTTCGACTTAAAAAGATTTCGGACTTAGCGAAGATGCTACTCGCAAGCTAACCGAAGACGAAATAAAAAGGATTCAAGCCTTTTTACTCTTCGTAAATGCTTCGAATTACGTAAGTATCCGTAGACTTCTTTTTAAACTTAAAGCTTTTAGAATGCTTGCTTTCGATAAAGTTAATATTACGGATTATATTCGCTAGCTCGAACGAGCGTTTAAAAATTACGGTATCGTTAGCGATTCGGAGAAGAAGTAATGCTTTGCCGAATACAATATTTCTAGCCTTCTCGATTATAATATACATTGCAGTATCGAAAGCTTCGAAAGCTTTTCGGATCCGAAAGTGACTTAAAACGACTTTAAATCGGTAATTAAAGAAAAGTATAAAGCTTTCGACTTAGCTAAATAAAAAGATAGTATTAGCTTTTTAAACGACTTAAGCAATAAGTAGATAGCAAAAGAAAAAGCTTTTAAAACGGAGCTTTTACAATTCACTCGATAATTTAATCTTACAAGCTTTGCTTACTTAATTAATAAAGATATTATCGATAAGCAACTAAAGTGGAAGTTCTTTAGTTGCTTATTATTATCGATATAGAATCGGACTTAAAAGAACGTTAAACTTAAAGAAGATTACTTGCAAACTTATAATATAATATATATTATAATAAGCGACTTAATTAAGCAAGAACAGATTATTGCGGAACGGATTAAAGAATACGGCTACGCTAAGATCTTTAAAGCTTTCTTTCGTTATAATCTTTATTAAAACGAAAATTCTTGTCTTTAAATACCGTCTATCATTCTCGAAAGCAAACGAAACTTATACGTTTTATTCTTTTATAACACTTATTTCGATAGTACTTATGCTTTTTTTTCTTACCGCGTAAGCATTACCGCTGCGAGTTCGATTACTTTATTCGTCGATCTTAACTTAAAGATCGAAGCTTTTACAAAACAATTAACAAAAGTTAATATTTATTTAAGACTTACCGACAGCTTCGCTTTCGTACCGAAAAAAGCTTATGTAAACCTATTAAAAGCAGCTTAATACAAAAAGACTTAAGAAATCGCTTTGCACCGAGTCTACGAAATCAATGCAACCGATATTTATTCGAATCGAAGCTACGTTATATCGAAAAAGAAACGGTTTTCAAACGATTTTACGTGCATTTTCTATTAATGCTAATAGACTTTTAATCTACTTAGCTATTAATAAAAGCTTTATAAATATCAAAATCAATGCTACTTGTTTATGCTTTAATACGGATTAGCTTTTCACTTTAACGAAGCGGACTTAATATATATAAAACCGTATCGAAAAAAGATATTATCGATCTTATTTTAATTTCGAAACGACACTTTTAAGTAC